TTTGAAGACACTGACAAGACCCCATCTTCATATCTTAGTTTTAAATCCCCTTCCCGAGACAGAAACTTAACAGTGACCCCTTTAATCCTGTATTGATAGGGAGATGAACTGAATGAGCTAACATTTTTTTCACTGCAACTCCAGATTGTTATGATTCTCCAAAGATGGGGATTTTTCTGCAACCTCCTTTGGAAACATATTCCAGTGCTTATCAGTAATTACCATTACAAAGATTTTCCTAAAATGGAACCTAAATCTTCCATGCTGCATATTAAGCCAATTAATTATTGGCCTACCTATTCAGTGCATGTGGAGGACAGCTGTTCACTATCCTCTTGGCATCAACCTTAACGTATTTCAAGATTGCTAGTAGGCCCCCACTCAGTCTTTTATTCTCCAGACTAAACATGCCCAATTTTTTTCCCCTACAGGTCAGGCTTTCTACACCTGGGTTTTTTGTTTTGTTTTGTTTTTGTTTTTGTTTGGGGGGGGGGGCTGTCCTCTGGACTCCCAACTGGCCACATCTTTCCTAAATTGTGGCACTCAGAACTATACGTAGTATTCCAGCTGAGGCCTCACCAGTGCTGCGTAAATCAGCAGTTACCTCCCATACATATGACATGACACTTATGTTCATACACCCCACAATAATCAGCAGTTACCTCCCATATATATGACATGACACTTATGTTCATACACCCCACAATGAGATTTTTTTTCATAACTATTACATTGTGGGATCATTTAGTTTGTGATCTATTGCAACACCCAGATGGTTTTCAGTGGTACTTCCAAATAGCCAATTATTTCCCATTTTATAGGTGTGTATTTGATTTTGTCTTCCCAAGTATTTTACATTTGTCTTTATTGAATTTCGTCTTGTTGATTACAGATCAATTCTCCAATTTGTCAAGGTCCTTTTGAATTCTAATCCTATCCTCCGAAGTACTTGCAACCCTTCCCAGCTCGGTTTCATATCCGTTAGTCCACTCAAGAACCCCCACCCTCTCCCTACCTTCAGAAGTCTCTTACCCTGTGTTGATTGGCTGGTCACTCCCAGGGTGGGTGGGATTTTGCATTTTATAAGCTTACTCTCCTAGTAATTAAATGAATATATCCAGGACAGACAGACTTCTGTGGGACCTCCACTAGGTACATTCTCCCAATTAGACTGTGATTCACTGATAATACTCTGAGTCTTTCAATCAGTTTTGCACCTCCCTTATAGTATTTTTCCAGACAACAGCATTTCCCTAGTTTTCTTATGAGAAAAGCATGTTTCAATCTGTCAATGCCTTACTAAAATCAAGACATACATCATCTACAGTTCTCCCACATCCACTGTGCCAGCAACCCTATGAAAGGAGGAAATGGGATTGGTTCAGCATGATTTGTTCATGACAAATCCATGTTGGCTTTTCCTTATAACCCTATTTTCCTCTAGTTACTTAGAAATTGATTGCTTAATAGTTTGTTCCAATATCCTCCCTGGTCTGTAATTTCTCAAGTCCTCTTTTATTTCTCTTCATGAAGGTAGTTATGTTTGATCTTCATGAGTCCACTGGGATCTCGCCAGTCCTCTGAGATGTCCAGGATAATCCCTGTCATTCTGATACTGCTTTTTCTAGATTTTTTCATCATGCACTGCTGACTAAAATATTTATACAAAGTCTCTAACCTGATTTTTCTATTCTGGCTCATGTTCCATTTCATACAAATGCTATGAAATGTCAAAACAAGTGACAAGACATTTCTTTGGAGACATTAAGATTTCAGTGTGGATGCCTACATCAGAAATGACCTTTTCAACAAAATCTGATTTCCATCTAGTGAAGAGAAAGTTGAACGGATTTGTGACTTCCACCTTGTCAATTATCCATCATCGTTAGCTTTGCAAGATACAAAGGTGCATATAGTTAGGTATCCATGATCAGAATTAGTGCCCTTTGTGTGGTTTGCTAAGTACAGGTACAGAAGATTTAACCTACATTAAATTAAGGTAAAACACAATTTTGGAGATTCTGAATCCTGTGCTTAATACATTTAGAGTTTGCTAATATAATCTCTCAGCTCTATAGTAAATTTCCTATATCGTTTAAACAAAAACCTCTCTATTGGGCTGAGTTTGCTGTAGAAGTTCCCCTTACCTTTTGCATTTTAAAATTTTCTGCTTCTGATTTATTCATCCTTGTGGTATGTGGGAGGGGGAGGGCATGAATGAACCTAACTCCTGAATCCATATCAATCCCATTGTTGGGCCAGCAGGGGAAAAAACAACAACAACAAAAAAAGTGAGAATAAACCAACTTCTAGGCTGCACCATAACACACTTGTTAATACAGGTTGGATTTCCCTGATACAGCCCTCTCAGGACCTGAGTGGTCTTGAACAAGGGAGTTTGCTGGACCAGGGAAGTTCAAGCCTTGGGTTCTCCCCAGGCTCTTTTCCTGGCTCCTGGCTCCTGGCCCACCATCTGGGCTTCCCTGCTATGGGCTGCCAGATTGGCTCCACTTCCTGCCACTGGGGCTCTCTGGG